AGATATGTCGAAGAGATCCGTATTATGCGGCTGTTGCTTGTCCAGATTGAGATGTTGCAGATGCCATGCTTGGCACGTGTTGTGAATGCCTCTTGAATGAAATTCGAAGGTTGTTACTTGCCGAACCGACCGGTCATAGTGTCCGTTTATGGCTAATAATAACCTTAAGTGTTCTAACAACAAGTCTCCGTTCAGAGGCTATATTTTCGAGGAATGAGATTGCTCTTGTACCATGAAACTGCGAAGCATAACTCCTCCAAGACCAGATTTCATAGCGTTTTGCATCGCTCCCTTGCTCGTTGTTGCCCGAAGGATCATTTAAGCAGGCCACGACTCAATGATATTGGAGCAGTTGCAACGCCAGATGCACCTCGCGTTAATTGGCTCGCTAGAGTCACCTCGCCCTCAGTACAGATGACGTCTCAGCGTATTTCTCGATGCTTAGGTATTCATCATATACGTCACTGTCTGTGTGCTTACAGTGACTGTCACTCTGGAAACTGTATGCTCAGTTTAGTGCCGTCAACCACGAAATTAAACAGTTCCATATGAGTTGTATTTTCTGAATACTGTTACCACTGGTGCAATGCTTTTTCTAGCATTGACGCTAAGACAAAGCTTCGGCGAGTTAAGCTACTTATGACAGTGGACATGACTGAACACTATTCATGCGACGATGATATCAAATAATCGGGATACGTGATCTTGAGTTACGCATCATGCCGCTATGATTTAAACGCATGACGAGATTGGTTAACTGATAAAGCTGTTAAGTGCTTGGTATTGTACTCTTTGGTCCTGCTTGGCAATTTTGCCTACTTGCTGGTACCATCCATGCACTAACCGTTCATTTGCTTACAGCCCGTTGACTTTTAAACTGAGTTCTATTTTGTGGTTGAATATGATTTGCACCGTACAGCTGTTATGACGGATGGTGACCAAATGCTAATGAATGGCAATGGTGACAGATACTGGATCCCCTTAATGAGGTTTAAGAAGGTGAATCGAACATGTGATTTCAAATGAAGAACTGTTTTGGGAATTGTTGCCCCTAATGAAAGTAATATATCGTAGTTATAGTAACGGATTTCGGTTTTCGACTGGTCCTAGATATTAGTGTTCAGACGATGTTGAAATAAGCTTAACAATTTTAACAGCTAGAATGAGACCCTTTTGTGGCATTTTTGATAGGAAAAATCACCGCTTTCATTAATGATTGCAATAACGTCAGCGACAAGAACGTCAGAGAGACGCATTGTCGTTAAACTGACCAGAAATCTGGAGAATAAAAACGCCAAAAAAGTTGTTTTGCCGACATTTTGCACAAATGCCAAATGATCTCATGTTGCTTTTTGACATTTAGTGGTTCATAAATCAAAGCACATGTTGAAATGAGGAAGCAGATGTCAGAGATGAGAGGCTCCATGGCTACCTGATATATGTTTTGTCAACCACAGTTTCATTGCAAAGTCTGACCATAGGACTAGAAACAGTTAGTTTAGCATGAAACGATGATAACGGAACCTGCAGAGTGAAAAATTTTATTATCATGCCATAATAAACAAGTTCAGAGTAAGGACACTTCATTGTTGTTTCAAACTACATGACCAGATTTAGGAAAGATAGGTCTTAATTTTGTAATCACAGGTTGTTCGTACAACAATTGCACTGTTCCATCAATGATGGACATTTATGCTTTTTGCAGTTACTATATTATCATTCGTCTTCCTGCTCATATTGCACAACAGACATTGTGCAGGTATTCATAGGAAAGTTGTATTAAT